TGTGAACAGTGCTGCTATGGACACCTGCCTGCAATTCACTCGGGTATCTACCTAGGCGTGGAGGGCTGGGACACACGGTTATTCTGTGTTTAATGTCTCCACAGGGGCTGACCCCACTGGCACCACACCAGCAACGCACCAGGTCACCTCTGCTCCTTCATGTGGACACATCTGTCCCTTTCTCCTCCCTACCCCCAAGGAAGCCCGTCCCCAGACTGCCCTTCTCCCTGGGGTAGAGGGTGGTCACATGGCACCTCTGCCAGAAAGGTTCTCCCAGGGCCAAAGCGTCCACTCTCGCCTTTTTCACCATAGGGCCTAGGGAGCCGGGGCAGGCCAGGCCATGAACCCCCTCCCTGTGGTCACTTGGGCACAGCCACAACAGCCACCTCCAACACCTCTGTCCTCACGCAGATCCACACCAAACTCTTCCAAACGCTCAAGGCTCAGAGCACAAAGTAAGAGGCTCTGCGTGGAAGCCATGGGCCAGCGGCAGCCAGGCGGGTGGGCACGCAGCACTCAGCTCCACTGAACATCCCCAAGCCACCGCCTGCCTGGCTCTCGCCCAGCCCCCTCTGCTGAGGGCGGGCCTGTCTGAGCCTGGCTGGCGGCCAGCAGGAGCCTGAGGACAGGCGCGCGCCCCGCCCCTCCCACCGGGGTTACTGTCGGTCACAGACCCAGGTCCTGCAAGCTACTGACACACAAGCCAGCCAACAGCGCCTGACCCGGCGGAGCCAATCAGCAGCCGCCAAGTTTGTCTGATTCCGTCTGCTCCAACCAGGAGGCGCGATCGTTCCAGCCTCCCGCTCCTGTGAAGCACCGGGGCCTGTGTAACTTTTTCCTTTCAGGGCGTCTGCCTCAGGCGCTCCTCTCCCAGCCCTCAGTTTGCCCTCCCCGGGAATGGGGAAGTGCGGGCGCACTAGTAGTGGGTCGGAGTTTCACGTGCATCGCAGTGGAGAGCAGGTTCCTTCCCTGTAGAGGGCCCCCGCTTCTCTGCGGGGCAGCGCAGACAGGGCTGTGGCCTCGCTCTCTGCCCGGCCTCCCCCTGCGGTTCCCTCCCCTGCACCTCTGGTCCACAGCGGCCTTGGAGGCCCTGTGGCCCTGGCTGACCAGGACAGGCCCCAGGCAGAGCTCACTGCAAACAGCCACTGGGGAGCAGGGAGAGGGGCCGAGAGTCAGCGGAACAGACAGCGGGATGGGCACGCGGAGAGAAGTCACCTTAGTGTAATCTGAAAGGCAGTGAGAGAGAAAGAGGGAGATGGAGACATCTTCCATTCGCTGCTCCCCCCACCCCCCACCCCAAATACCAGCAACAGCCAGGGCTGGCTGTGGGGAGCAAACCGGACTAGACTGAGTTACTGGAATTAAGACTTATTCTATGCATCTGCTCTCCCACAATATGGCGCTGGGAGAGAAGAAAACAGCTTTTACACAGCTGCCTCCAGTTCAACCAATAAACTGTAGGACTTGCTCCTGATTGGAGAGCAGCGTACTCGGCGTGTGGGCAGCCGAGTTAGGATTGGCGGAGGAGGACTATAAAGGAGGAGAGAGACGGCATGCACAAGGAACATCTATGGGGAACATCTAAGGGGAACATCTAGCTGAAGGAACACCCGTGCAGCCCCCGAGAAAGCCGGCCGGCGGTGTGCCGCTCCCCTGCGGAAGTGGGGAATGTGGCCGGGGGAACTGCCCTTCCACGGAGGTGGAAGGGATAGTAGCCAACCCGGGAAGAACCAGCAGCAAACCCGGGGAGGGCCGAGCAGACGAAAGAACAGCGCAGGGTCCTGTGTCGTTCCTCCACGAAGAGGGGGAGCGACAGCTGGCCAGGAGAAGGCCAGGAGGCTGGAACCCAATCCCAGTCTCCTGTGGCCTCCCACGTGGATGGCAGGAGGGACTCAGCGACTCCAGCTGTCATCCACTGCCTCCAAGGCTGTAGGTTAGCAGGAAGCTGGGTCTGAATTGGAGGAGCTGGGACTCCAACCCATGACTCTGATGTGGAATGCACGCATCCCCAAAGGAGTCTTAAGGGCTGCAGACTGTGACAAACGCCTGCCCTAAGGAGAGGGGGAATGAAGGCACAGAAATCCCAGAGTGTTCAGGATCTGCCTGGCTGCAGAGCTGGAGCAGGAAGTGTGTGAGGTGGGGAGGCAGGGAATGTGGCAAGGCGGCTTTGGGCCTGCATGGAGGGTGCAGCCCAGCTTCTGCAGGTGATAAGGAGTCACCAGACATTCCAAGCAGGAAAGAACATGATCTGGTCCTGGTTTCAGAGAGGCAGCTGTGGTGGGCAAAGGGCAGAGCAGAGAGGGACCAGGTGGGGGCTAGCACCCATATGAGATGCTGGCATTGCAGGAGGTGGCTTTACCTGTTACAGCACAACGTCAGCCTCTTCTAATACTTTTTTTTTTTTTTTTTTTACATTTTATTTCTTTGAGAGGTAGTGTTACAGACAGTGTGAGGGAGAGACAGAGAGAAAAGTCTTCGATCCACTGGTTCACTCCTCAAATGGCTGCAATGGCCGGAGCTGAGCCAATCTGAAGCCAGTAGTCAGGAGCTTCTTCTGGGTCTCCGACGTGAGTGTAAGGGCCCAAGCACTTGAGCCATCTACTGCTTTCCCAGGCCATAGCAGAGAGCTGGATTGGAAGAGGAGCAGCATGACTAGAACTGGCGCCTATATGGGATGCTGGCGCCACTGGAGGACGATTAACCTACTTTGCCACATTGCTGGCCCCCTTCTAATACTTCTTAATGAGTTTTCCTAACTTTTTTTTTGCCCACTTTTTATGAATCTATTTACTTGCATTTTATTTTAGAGAGAGAGAGATCAATCTTATACCCACTGGTTCAATTCCCAAATGCCTGTACCGCCAAGGCTGGACCAAGCTGAAGCCAGGATCCTGGAACTCCATCTTGGTCATCCACGTAGGTAGCAAGAACCCAAGTACTCGAGCCATCACTTGCTGTCCCCCAGGATGCATGTTATCAGGTAGCTGGATTGAAAGTGGACAAGTTGAGACTCAAACCAGGCACTCTGATATGGGATGTGGGTGCCCCTGGGGCAGGTTAACTACTGCACCAAACACCTGCTCCCCTCTGTCCACTTTATCTGTTGAGTGTTGCTTCTCCACAACTAACAACTGCTTCAGACTTCTGACTCCAAAACTTCTTCTTGAGCCATCAGTTTTCTCCCCAGCTGCACTCTGAACTCCATAAAGCCCATCTCTGTGTTTCTTCCAAACACCAGATCCATATTCCCAACTGTCCACTGAGTGTACTTCTATGTCAATATATTTATTCCAATGTATATTCCACAAGTCAATTATGGTTTCTAGAATCTGCTTCTCTTTTTCCTGATGCTATTTCAGCATTGCAAGTGCTTCCCTCTCTGTCACTCAAGCTACAAACCTCAGCATCACGTTGGCCTCCTGCCCTCTGCATCTCACAGATCCAGTGATTACATGCCTCTCCAAAAACTCTCTCAGCTTGTGCTTTTCCTATTCCTGGCATCACCATCCTAAGTTGAGGCCCAAGGAGCCCTCACCTGAGTCTAACAATAATATGAGAACTGGTGCCAATTTGAGTCCTGGCTGCTCCATTTCTAATCCAACTCCCTGCTAATGTGCCTGGGAAAGTGGCGGAAGATGGCCCCAAGTGCTTGGGCCCCTGCACCCAAGTGGGAGACCCAGATGAAGCTCCTTGCTCTTGGCTTCAGCATGCCCCAGCCCCATCGCTGTGGCCACTGGGGAGTGAACCAGTGGATGGAAGACTTCTTTCTCTCCATTTCTGTCTCTGTTTCTAGCTCTGCTTTTCAAGTAAAATAAAATAAAATATTAAAAAAGATTGTTTTTTTTAAGTATTAGAAGATGCTAAGCCATATATTAGAAGTAAAAAAAAATTCCATGAATATAAAGCAGGATATTGTGTAATGTGTACATTCAGGACAGTTGGAATACTGTGCAGGCTTTAAAATTATGATGTAAAAATATTAAATTGCCAACCATTAAAAGATGCTCACTGTGACCTGGATGGAGTTCCTGGCTCCTTGCTTTGGCCTGGCCCACTCCAGACCACTGAAGCCATTTGGGAAGTGAACTAACAGATGGAAGGTAGGTACCTTCCTTCCTCCCTCCCTCCTTCCTTTCTTTCTCTCTCTTTCTCTCCCTACATTCTTCTCTCTCTCTCTCTCTCTCACACACACACACACACCCCTGCAAAGGGTTATGAAGGCGTTTTCAGGATGAGACAACATTTGTTTTTCTTGACTGAAGTGATGGCTACAGGTGTGTACAGAACTGTTAAGGATCTCTAATTCATGGGGCCCCTCCTCTCCAGCTCTGTCACACCTGTGCCAGATGCTGTCCAATGGGTCTTGTACAGGACCAGCTGATGGACTAGGTTTTCTCTTAGATTTTGCCTACTTTTAAGACCTGTGGTTTCAGGTCCATGAAATCGTTTCAACCAAATATAATGCAATAGGTCTTAAGTTTGTTATTTTCAGTCTGTGGAATGGTTGTCAGTCTCATCTCTTTAGACTTCTAGATGCTTAGCATAGCTTCATGGTTTTTAGTACATCTGTTTAAGCTGTCTTCATGATATGAGTCAGATGACTTAAAATGATTAGGCCAGGTTGATGAGCATTAATCACTTTTAAACTAAGCCTCTGGTAGAAATTTAATGATTTGGTTTTAAATGTGTTATCATTATACTTTATATCTGTATCACTCCTGTTGCATACTGTGGTGTAACAGAAATTATAAGACTAGAAGCTAATGTGTCCTAGTTTCAGAGTTCATCCCACTACTTAGCAGATACCCGACTTTAGCAGAGGCATTTAATGGAGAGATTGTCAATGATCCACAAATACTTGAGGTTACCCCAAGAAAGTTCCAGGGCCTCCATGGGGCCAAAATGATTCTCATAATTATACTAATTGTTCCTTTACCAGTTTTACCATCCTGTGGATATTTATACTGTTTGGTCTGAAAGCAATGTTACACTCTCTGTACCTTTGTCGCTCCCCGTCTTCGTGGAGGAACGACACAGGACCCTGCGCTGTTCTTTCGTCTGCTCAGCCCTCCCCGGGTTTGCTGCTGGTTCTTCCCGGGTTGGCTACCATCCCTTCCACCTCCGTGGAAGGGCGGTTCCCCCTAGCCACTTTCCCCACTTCCGCAGGGGAGCGGCACACCACCGGCCGGCTCTCTCGGGGGCTGCACAGGTGTTCCTTCAGATAGATGTTCCCCTTAGATGTTCCTGGTGCATGTTGTCTCTCTCCTCCTTTATAGTCCTCTTCCACCAATCCCAACTCTGCTACCCACACGCCGAGTACACTGCTCTCCTCCAATCAGGAGCAGCTCCTGCAGCTTGTCAAGTTGGTGAGAGGCAGCTGGTTAGAAGCTGTCTCCTCCTCTCCCAGCGCCATATTGTGGGAGAGCAGATGCATAGAATAAGTCTTAATTCCAGTAACTTAGTCTAGTCCGAGTTGCTCCCAGTTGCTCCCCACAACCTTAACAGAAATTAAGGCAGCAGCACCAAACTGTGCCAGTGGTCATTGTATCTTCAATACTGTGTACTCAGACAGCAAGTCAATTACATTTAAGATGTTTTTTTTAAAGAAGTAAACATCAATTATATCCAATCTTTACTCTTGAGAACAACTTTTTAAACTTTTGTGTCATGAAATGGGAAGTGTACTTGATGCATTTTTGCTACCTATTAAAGAATTATGGTTGTTTTGAGGAAAAGCATTAAAGTGATCATTTTAGTTGCGAGCTCAATTAACCACGTTTTCCCCATCATGTCATTTTGACTTGAAACAATGACTGATGGGAAACACCGGGTATTTACCAGACATTTTCTTCAATTTTGTTAAGGTAAAAAGATTGTTACTTCAAGGAAACACTCGCAAAGTTGTTCCGATGATATAATGTCAGCATTCAAGAAAAAAGTTGGAATTTTGGAAACCGTTTCTGTGGTACGGAGTTTGACAGCTCCCCAATCCTTAAAGACTCCTTATATCCACGGTGATATAAGGCATGTTTTAAAAATAGTGTTCTAAGGCCGGCGCTGCGGCTCACTAGGCTAATCCTCCGCCTTGCGGCGCCAGCACACCGGGTTCTAGTCCCGGTTGGGGCGCCGGATTCTGTCCCGGTTGCCCCTTTTCCAGGCCAGCTCTCTGCTGTGGCCAGGGAGTGCAGTGGAGGATGGCCCAAGTGCTTGGGCCCTGCACCCCATGGGAGACCAGGATAAGTACCTGGCTCCTGCCATCGGATCAGTGCGGTGCGCTGCGCCGGCTGCGGCGGCCATTGGAGGGTGAACCAACGGCAAAGGAAGACCTTTCTCTCTGTCTCTCTCTCTCACTGTCCACACTGCCTGTGAAAAAAAAAAAATTAGCGTTCTCCATCCTCCTCTCCTCATCCATTTCTGCTCCTTGGAGCCAACCACTTTCTAATCTTCATAGCTGACTCAAGCATTTCTCTCCATAAATGATATGCTTCTATGTCTACTTATTAATTTCAGTTCTTTAATACATATTTATTTTTTCCTACCATGGAAGGTGAGAATTTCTTCTTCTTCTTCATTCACACAGGTACTTGCATGCTTCACTTTCTCTGTACACCCAATATAGTTGTGTTGTAATCTTGATTGTATCAATACTCACTGTATTGCCAGGACTGTAAATATTGCTCACACGAGTCATGTAATACAACCATGATTTCTCTCTTGCACAATTTCTTGTTTGTTCCAGATCCAATAACGGTCTTTTATTTTCTCAGCATTTTCTGTGTTCCTATCATTAATTCAGTCCAACCTCCCCATCAGTGGTCTCCATCTCTTCTCAATATACTTGATCCCACTGGGTCATTTACCAATTTCATTTTCTTTTCTTTTTTATCTATGGTATACAAGTTTTACGTATTTCATATATACAGATTTAGGAACCTAGTGATCCAATTTCATTTTCTTGAAAGAATCTCTCCTGGATCCTTTCAGCTGCCCCCATCTGGACTAATGCTCTGTAAACCTACTGTGTGGCTCTCATCCTGGGCATTTTCTTTAGCACCATTCTTGCTTCTCTCCTTTGTTGGATTCTCTATTTTTGGGTGCTTTGTGCTCCTCTTTGTTGGTTTATTTCCATCTTCTTGGAGAAGCCTGTTTTGTTTTAGTCTCATCAGGAAAAAAAATGTTTTTGAGATATTTTCCTTGTCCTCAGTTTCCCAAAATTTCATAAAGATGTGCTCTTATATGGGTACATTTCCAATCATTCTCAAGGACATTTCATGGACCCTTTCAATCTAGAAACATTCATTCCCTTGTTGAGTAATTTTTATTTAATGATTACTTCCTTTTCTTCTGTCAATTTTCTTTTGTGCTCTCTTATTTCCAGAATTGATCCTTTAATTTAAAAAAAAAGTCTTTCTTATTTTTGGTTTCTAAAACCCCTTTGGTTTCTAAAAAGATTTTCTCAACTGCAAAAGCTTCTATTGTTTTTTTTTTTTTAATTAACTTGAGAGCCAGAGGAAGTCAGAGAATGAGATCACTCCCATCCACTAATTCAGTCCCTAAAAACCTGCAATAGCCCTGAATGGGGCTAAATCTGAGTATGGGGAATTCAATCCAGATATCCGCCATGTGTGGCAGAGACCCAATGACTTGAGCAATCACCACTGTTTCCCAGGGTCTGCATTAGAAGGATGCTGGGATCAGGAGCCAGAGGCAGGTGTCAAACCTAGATAATCTAATATGGCATGTGGACATCTTAACCACCATCTTAAACTTTAGGGACAAACTCTCACCCCATTTGGAGTTTTTAAGATTGGCTATCACACTTATTTTCTGAAATTCTTTTTGGACATTTCCTTTTATTTTTTCCCAAATGGATACAATACTTTTTATTATTCCTTTAATGATCAGGGCTGGCACTGTGCCATAGCAGGCTAACCCTCCACCTGTGGTGTCAGCATCTCATGTAGGCACCGGTTCATATCCAGGCTGCTCCACTTCCAATCCAGCTCTCTGCTATGGCCTGGGAAAGCAGTGGAAGATGGCCTAAGTGCTTGGGCCCCTGCACTCATGTGGGAGACCTAGAGGAAGCTCCTGGCTCCTGGCTTTGGATTGGCCCAGCTCCAGCCATCCAGGCCATTTGGGGAGTGAACCAGTGGATGGATGGAAGACCTTTCTCTCTCTCTTTCTCCCTCTCACTGTCTGTAACTCTACCTCTCAAATAAAAAATCTTTTTTAAAAAGAGTATTAATGATGGCTTGGGGAAAATCTTCCTTCTCCTTATATAGTCTCTTGTCCTCTAAGATGTTTTTTCTTCTGGATTTGGCTGATCTTTTTTTTTAAGATTTATTATATTTAATAGAGGGAGAGAGAGCGAGCACAATATCTTCCATCCACTGGTTCACTCCCCAGATAGCCACAACAGCCAGGGCTGGGCCAAGCCAAAACCAAGAGCTCCTTTCAGGTCTCCCACATGGATGCAGGAGACCAAGCACTTGGGCCACCTTCCACTGCTTTTCCCAAACTATTAGCAGGAAGCTGGATTGAAAGTGGAGCAGTCAGTGCTCATATGAGATGCCAATGTCAGAGGTGGCAGCTTTACCCACTATGCCACAGTGCCAGGACCTGATCTTTCCAATGGAATCAAAATCCACTAACATGTTTCCCTGAGGATTTCTCTCAAAAAGGTGCAATGTGGGAGGCTGGCACTATGGCGCAGCAGGTTAACGCCCTGGCCTGAAGCGCCGGCATCCCTTATGGGCGCTGGTTTGTGTCCAGGCTGCTCCTCTTCTGATCCAGCTCTCTGCTATGGCCTGGGAAGGCAGTAGAAGATGGCCCAAGTCCTTGGGCCCCTGCACCTGTGTGGGAGACCTGGAGGAAGCTCCCGGCTCCTGGCTTCAGGTCGGCGCAGCTCCGGCTGTTGCGGCCATCTGGAGAGTGAACCAATGGATGGAAGACCTCTCTCTCTGTCTCTACCTCTCTCTGTAACTCTGTCTTTCAAATAAATAACATAAATATTAAAAAAAAAAAAGGTGCAATGCAAAGCAGGTACCTGTCATTAAGGAAGAAAAGTGACATTTATAGTAATACATCACGTCACAAAATGTTGGTCAATGACAGATCAAACACACAATAGTGCTCCAGTAAGATTGCAATGGAGCTGAAAAATTTCCATCACCTACAATGTGTTAAGAGTTTTAACAGGTATTATTAGAAGAGGGTCAAAAAGTAAAATGCTCGTGAATTTACAAAAGTTATATCAAACTAAGATTAATATTTGAAGAAAAATCTTTTATAGAGTAGTCTAAGTACACAGTGTTAATAAAGTCTACAATAGACAGTAATGTTCTAAGTCTTCACGTTGAATCACCACTATGAACAAATGCCAGTCCCACAAGCTCCATTCACGGGAAGCGCCCTGACAAATGTGCTATTGTGTATCCTTTATGCCACTTTTTAACCCTATGTTCTATGTTTAGGTATGTTAAGATACACAAATACCACAGTAACATTTCTAGCTTAAGAACAAAGCTATGCATACCACAGAGCCAGGGTGTGCAGTAGGCTATAGGATCTAAGTTTGTGTAAGTACACTCTGCAACAATAGTACAGTGACAAAATGATCCAAGGAAACACTTCTCAGAGCATGTTTGTGAGATTAAGTGACCCAAGACTGTGTTTGAATATCCTACTAAATGCCTGTTCAGAGTCTTTGTGATGGGAATCCATGTGCAGCTGGTCACAGGAGCAAAAGAGGGTGGCTAGGAAAAACAGTCTATTCTTGAAGTCATCTGCAACAACAATGGCAATTTTAAAAGTTTTTCTTTAAGCATCTCACAGAAAAGCCCTTTTTGTAATGATTTACAAAAAACCTGGAGGAAACACACAGGAACTGGCTTGCTTCACTCTCGGGATGAGGAGCAGTATGCACTATGTATGTACACTTTCCCCAACGCCGGGATGAGGGTAACACCTCCCTTCTCCCTGGGCTCCTACGGAAAACATGAAACGTTTTGTGACATTTATTCAATGAGGAGCTGTATGAGGATATCTCACGGCATGAGGAGGACAGTTAAGCTTTGCCACCAGGTGCAGGCTCTGTTACACTCAGTGGTGACAGCTGCTTCTGGCCCCCCGGCAGGACGACAGCTTAGAGCAGGAATGATCGGCCCTGCCTCCCTGCTCTGTCAGTGGCTCATCCTCTCCACTGCTGAGACACAAAGTTCTCCACAGTCGCTGTGTGTTCATCACTCTCACCCTCTGTGAAGAAACAGTCTCCAGACCCCTCACACCATGTTCCTACTATAAACCAGAAGGGCTCACCTTCCATTAGCTGTGGTTTCTGAATCTATACTTCTTTCACCCTAGCCTGGTAACTAAACGGGAGATCCAACAAAAGAACAAGGTACAGGTCAGTGTGTGTGTATGTATGTGTGTGTTGCCAGTGAAAAGGCATCCCTTTCAGTCTTTTGTATTCATCTAAACAGAGCTAATACACATTCTAAAATCTTGATTTGTAATTTTTGTGATAAAAATTGATATAAATCCAGGTTACAGATAAGGTGTCAAGTTCAAGCTCAGCTCAGGGCTATGCCAGAATTGAAACTCTGATAAGACAAAAAAGGAAAACTTTTCCTGTTCACCTGAGCATCCCTACTCCCAAACTCTCCCAAAAATTCTAGATCCTTGGAACTTGAAGGGGCCTCTGCCCTTCTGCGTACTTGTATGTCCTGCCTCCAAACTGTCCTTTTCACATGAATGGGACTCTGCAGCAGCCAGGATCTCTCTGTGTTAACTCTTTGTAATCAGAGAGGACACAAGTGCTGACACTGTCATCACTGTGTGGGTGTGGCAGGAAAAATGCCCCACCAGACGATGAGTTCTTTCTCACTGCACACTGCAGTCACGCTCTTCCTTATGTGTAAAACATCTTCATGTGTGGCTGGCACTGTAGCACAGCAGGTTAATGCTCTGGCCTGTGGTGCCGGCTTCCCATATGGGCACAGGTTCGTGTCTTGGCTGCTCCTCTTCTGATCCAGCTCTCTGCTATGGCCTGGGAAAGCAGTAGAAGATGGTCCAGGTCCTTGGGCCCCGGCACCCATGTGGGAGACCTGGAAGAAGCTCCTGGTTCCTGGCTTTGGACTAGCTCAGCTCTGGCTGTTGCAGTCATTTAGGGAATGAACCAGCAAATGGAAGACTTCTGTCTCTCTGCCTTTCCCTCTCTGTAACTCTGACTTTCAAATAAATAAAATAAATCTTAAAAAAAACTTCATGTGACATTTGTACTTCCCCATCTTTGTTCAGTTTCTGCAGAAGGCCGCTTCCTCTGGGCAGTAAGAGCAGGGGCTGCTCTGTGGGGGGAGCAGGGAAGGAGGAGGCAGGAGGAAGCCGCAGACCTTACCAAAGGGCTCTCGGCCCTCTTTTTCAGGGGATAAATGTCTGGGTCCTGGGTCAAAAAGCAAGGAGGGAAGAAGAAAGGGCAAGAAAGGCGAGAGAGTTTTCATAGAACAAGGCAAATGGCTTGGAAGGTCACGGAGAACAACAGCAGCTAGGTTCACTGTGGATAGAGTACAGCAGCTACAAAGCACTCGTCCTGAGATACAAAAGGGAACCAGGTATGGCCTATGTAGGTCAGGTCATCTCTAGCCATTGGCCTCTGGCTCTCAAAGTCACGGCTTGGCATGTGCTACTTGTTCCCATTGCTGATTTAGTCCTGTGCCAACTTGGCAGATAAAATATTGACCAGCCATTAACAATACTGTGATGAAAGAGAAAAAATAAGCCTGTAGGGCTTTTCTAAACTACATTCTCCCAGTGTGTACTTTCATGAAGATAAGGCACTAAACAAAGATGAACAGGAGGATTTTCAACAGGTGTGTCCAACGTGTGCAGGGTCCCAGGAAGAGAACTCATGACAGCCTACCACCGGGGGTTTAAATATTTAAAATCTGCAAATGAAGCAAACTGTTCAATAAAGTAGGACAAAGGCATAGCCTCTCTGTTTACTTTGATGGATTTGTCTTTACAACCTGGAAGATGAGATTTGGACTTAGTGATCTAAAACTGCTCACATGTCCACAACCTACCCAGGCCCACTAACCACCTTCTAGAAGGGTGCTATTTCAGGACCACTAAAATACCCTGCTCATCAGCAAATGGACCCCTTCCTCCTGCATGTGAGGTCCAATGCTGCACAGGAGGCTGCCTTGTCCCTATACACGTTCTATCTGAAGCTATGCCTCTTTTTTTTATGAAACTTTATATTAAATGAGAACAATAAGACTTGGGTCTTATAAACATTAAACAAAATCAACTTTCAGTTTGTAAGTGTGGTTGGGTGGAAATCAATTTCCATAACAGAACAAATTTAACACGATCTGGGTCAAGGCAAAACCAGGAGAAAGTATTGGTGTCACAAAAACACACAGCGCTTCACAGTTGCCCTTCTGACACAATGCCCTACACCACAGGCAGTGTGTGGAACTCGGTGGGGAGGTACACAGGACCAGTTAGGAGGCTGGCAGGCATCAGCTGAGTTCCATGAGGGGCAATGTGGATTCTGAAGGTCAGGGAGGTACAGCAGCAACAGGGCCCACCTTCAGGGCAGCTTCTTTCTTGGCCTGGGGAGCTTGGAGAAGGGCCACGGCTTCATCTCCTTGCAGTGCATAGATCTGGGGGACTCAGGAATATGGACTGAGCTGCAGTCCAGGAATCTTACCCACAGGGGTATTGCATTCACTGGATGAGCAGGAACAAACTTTCTCCCAGTGCCTACTTCTGTCCTGGAGGGCAGTGCCACGGCCAGCACAGACAGGGTCAGGGGCTCCTGCCCCTGCACATCTCCAGAGGCTGTAGCAGAGGAAGAGGGATGTGGACACTGTAGGCACAGTTGGGATGGTGCAAACAGCCCCAGGAGATACTAGGTTCTACATCCCAGTGCAAATACCTCCAACTGGCAGCTTCAGCCAAACCTTGCACTAGCCACCCACAGTCCACAGCTGAGCAGTCTGGGCAGACACCCTCTTACTCTACTCAGGATCTGCACCCAGTGCCAGGAACTACATGCATGGATGCCCCTAGACAGCAACACCCCAGTCTAGGCACTACTGCTCCCCAACCAACCACACAGAACACTTTAATTCTGCACCTGAAAACGAAAGAGGTTTTACTTCTTACTCTTTCTCTTAATTATTATTATTTGATCTTGTTGCTAAGGTAAATTCATATTTTCATATGCACAGACTGTGAGGAAAAACCAAGAAATAAATTTCTCTAGGTCATGTGTCAAAAATTACTTGCAGAGCTGGGATAAAACACCTCCAATCTATTGCCATCTTGTCTCAATAGCACAGCCTGGCCAGCTCCTGCCTTGTGTTTAGAAGTTGTATAGCCAGTGCCTAGACAGTGTCATTTACTGGCAAGAAAGGTTCCCTTTGAGTTGTCCCCTCTGAGCTCCCTCCCTCTAGAGGCTGTAAAACACACAACACAAACACACACTCTGGGATGCAGCCTGCAGTAAGTCTGCATTTGCATGCACATATATAGCCTGGAGAACAGCAGGCTTGAAAGAGAGAGATCTTCAAACTTCTCCTGTTCATGAGGCTTGCAACACCTTGCTAAGCTCCCCCTTATTTTTTTTTAATGATTTATTTATTTATTTGAAAGTCAGAGTTACACAGAGCATTGAGAGGCAGAGAGAAAGAGAGAGAAAGAGAGAAAGAGAGAGAGGTCTTCCATCCACTGGTTCACTCCCCAAATGGCTGCAACAGCCAGAGCTGCACTGATCCAAAGGCAAGAGCCAGGAGCCTATTTTGGGTCACCCACGTGGGTGCAGGGGCCCAAGTACTTGGGCAATCCTCCACTGCTATCCCAGTCCACAGCAGAGAATTAAGCCCCACCTTATTAAAACCCACCTTGAGCCATGTACTGTCAAAGAGATGGTGCTAAGCCAGGCAGACAGGGTCCATATCCCCATGGGGCATCCCAAGAGAACATGAGTGTCATGACACCAGGACCACTGACAGAATGCATCAAACAGCAGCCAGCCTGGGAAAGTTCCTGAAGAACTGCAGGAAACAGGGCCCCTTCAGTGACAGTGTGTGGGAGAAGGGGGATGGGCAGCACAGTGCCCCAGGCAGAGGGAAAGGAATGTACCCAGACTCTACAAGTACCATGGGAGGAGAGCAAACAAGCAGGAGGCCTAGCCAGAGATGAAACAAGGACACAAGCAAGGAGGGGCCTGGTCCTAGAGGGCCTTGGAGCCACGATAAGAAGTGTGGATTTTATACAAACAGCAATAAAAACATCTTACTCTTTATATACTGTTTATTTAAGGTGGCTCGATGAGACTTGTTTTTCTTGCTCCCTAGTGTTGAAGAAGCAAAATGAAATTTACAAACGGCAAGGGAATCTTTGCCCCTTTCCATAAAGAACAGTCTGTAGCTCCCACCTCCATCTCTCAAGCATACTTTTTACTTCCCTCAACTATGATAAAATATTTATGTGCTGGGTCATTACCGATTCCAATGTACACAAATATTGATTGTGTCCTTATTTAAAAGTTCTAATTGCTTGCTGACCTAATACTGCTTGATACCAAGGCCCATGCTTCCCCCTAACATTATTCCCGGCAGGTGTGCAGTCACAATCTCCCAGGAGTCTGAATATTTGGTGACACAACCACTGCAGTGGGATGTGCACGGAGGATCCAGTCACCACTCTGCCTGGTTCCCAACACCGACAGGGGCGCTGCCCTCGTCTCTGGAAACTCCCTCTCCCTCATCCAGATTTTCCTGCACTCTGGCAGGGAGCAGCCTGTCTTTAGGGAGGAAGACAATACCCCTGCCCCACACTGCCTCCTAGGTGGGCCTCCCCTTTTCTTTCAGGGGCATCTGGCCTAATTAATGCCAGCAGCACCAAGTAAGAACAACAGCACAGGTGTCAACCAGAGTCTAAGAAAGTAGGAGCAGATTCTGGGAAACCCTGGTGTTTCAGGTGGTTCTGGAGCACACAAGGCGAGTGTGCCTGGGCAGTTACAGATGAGAGACGCTGCATCCACAGTATGGCCACCTTGAGTCACAGTGGAAGGCAGACCCCCAGAAGAAATCCTGAGCCCTCCTCCCTGATGAATGCCGCAGTATGAATGTGTACCCGCAACCCCACGTTCACTGGAAATCACTGCCTCCTGGGATGTATCTGCAAGTTGGCGCTTTACCAAGCGGTATCTGCAAGTCAGCCATGATGGATGAGTCCTCAAGAATGACATGTGCGTCACCAGTAAAAGACCTGAGAAAGATCTCGGGCCTTCCCCACGTGGACGCTCAGCGAAGACGGCCGTCCATGCAGCAGGAAAGGGGCCTTCACCAGACCCCAGGTCACCCTGAGCTATGACCCAGCACTTGCCAGCCTCCAGACCTGTGAGAGGTATGCTGCTGTTGCAAAGCCACGTGCCCATGGCAGTTTGTGCTAGCAGAGGAAACAGACTGAGGCAAAGAGGAAGGCCCGCCATCGGTGACACAGTGACAGATGCACCACTGCAGAGACCCTGAGCAGCAGCCCAGGGAGGGCTCCTGGTCCACACGCTGAGCTCCTCCCTGCCATGACCAGACCCGCTGTCCCTCTGAGAGCACTGCTGTCACACGGGGCTGCAGGGGCTGCCTGCTCCCTGGCCAGCGAGTTGGTCTCCCCCTAGGACCAGGGCCCATGGGGATCTGCCTTGTCCTCCTCCTGGCAGTCCCAGGGGCCTCCCCTCCTTGAAGCCAACCCTCCTTGGCACAGAACTCCTTTCCTTCTCCTCTCCCCACTGAGGGGTTCCTGGGCAGAGTTTGGGGGACACCGGGCATGGAAAGGGACAGGCTGAATGCATGGCCTGCCTGGTTCCCAGCTCTGCTGGTGGGGCTCCCTCAGGCACAGACAAGATGAGGCATAAGGTCCGTGGGTCAGATTTCCTAGGGCGCCTGCACACTAAGGTCCTGAGTAGGGTGAAGAGCTGGGCCTCCAGCATCACGTTTCTGGGCTCAGCCCAGCTCCACCACTGCCTAGCTGCTGTGAATACGGGCAGGTTCTGAGATCTGCCCACAGCTTCTCTTTCCAGTGGGTTCACGGAGAGCCCATCTCACAGAGTCACTGGAGGATGCAACAAAATCTCCCAAGACCTGCAGGCTTCTCTCATTTTATACTCAGTACTTTCCCTGCTGCTGGATGGACCTATGATGGCATCCTGCCTTATTCCAGGAAGAGGAGCCCAACTTTTTCCGGACAACCTGAATGTATTCCAACACATCCCGCACAGTTGTTGCATGGCTCGGGGATGCGCCTGACTACTGTGCTCAGTAGTGCAAGTCCCCTTCCAAGCGTGACGGTGCTGGAGCTGCAGCTGTGCACAGACAGGTCAGGGAGGAGCGTCCTGGGCTCTAAGAGCTCTGTGGTCCGCATCAAGCACTGGTGGGCGGGACCACGCCATTTTTCCCCTGGGGCCAGAGTGAGCTGTGGATAGCTCCACGGCGGCTACCTGGGTACTTCCTGTGCAGTCCGCCCACGGTCCACCCATTCACTCTGCCTGCTGGCGCCATTCCTATTCCAGCACCTGGTGCTTTCCGCCTGGCAAGAACGAAGGCTCCGAGTGCCTCGGAGGCTGAGGCCCAGTGGTCGGTGGCAGAGAAAGCGCAGGGAGGGGGAGCGCGGCGCAGGCGGCTGGGGGAACAGCAGATTGCGCGGAGCCAATGGCAAAGGCGGCTGAGGTGGCACCAAAACCCTTCAGCCAATGACGCGCCAGAGTGTACTGAAGCCTCATTAGCATTTCCCCAGGGGCAGAGGCCCGGCAGGGGCGGTGTGGCGCGGAGCTGGTGTCTTCAGCATCCCGGCGCCAGCCACCGAGTAATCCTGGTCTCCGGTTGCTGCTTGCCTGGCTCTTCTGCCTCCCCTTTTCGGCCCTCTCCGCCATCCGAGACTGCCTGTTTTTCAACCAGCTCTGAGCACTCTTTTGTCGGCCGAGGATAAAACGGTATGGATCTACCGGCACCTACCACCAGCTATTCCATCCATTCTCCTTCCCGGGGAGAGCAGCTCACAGCGGGATCAGGCCCGTACGCGCGTGCTGGGGCCGGGAAGGCTTCACAGCGCATTGGGCTCCGCATCTCAACCTGTCTTCTCTCCCTGCAGCCTGAATTCCGTGAGACTCAGTCTCCTCAGCGATCAGCAACCGGGAGGCAAGATGCCGGCCCACTTGCTGCAGGAGGTGAGCTTCCCAGCATCCGTCCTGAACTCGGGGGTCGCTGGCCCTGGTGGGGCTTCAGGGTGACTCGATGGTGAGGGGACATTGCTGGAGCCCCCGAGAGAACTTGGCCGTCTGGCTCGAGGTGCACTCGCATCAATTTTTTGAGGAAACTCGGTTCTGCGAGTAGCTTTATGAGTAGCTTTATGTACACGTGTGGCTTTTCCTTTGTGTTCAAAGGGGTGCCAGAGAGCTTCACACACCCCCTAAGCTAATTCACCTCTAGGTTTCACCCCAACCCCCCTGCACAGTTCCTGGGAACCTGTGCCTCTCCTGTGCAGGGCCCACCCTCCCCTCACTCTGGGTGCTGGGCCAGGGTCTGAGCCTGCCCTCCCTTCCCTTCCCTTCTCCCTCCTCCTCTCCCCCTCCCCTGCTGGATTAGAGTGAAGTGGCCTCTGCTGCCTCCACTGTCTCCTGCTCTGACCCTCTTCCTCTTCCCCTCCTGGCCAGGTCTCTGGCTCCTACACCCCCACCACCACCGTCACCACACCCCACTCCAGGCTCCTGCAGAGTGGAGAGGGCAAGTTGGAGAAGATGCCCCTACCGGCGGAAGAAGACATCCGCCCTGAAATGAAAGATGACATCTACGACCCCAGCTACCAGGACGAGGAGGGCCCCAGGCCCAAGCTGGAGTTCGTCTGGAGGAACATCATCCTCATGGCTCTGCTGCACGTGGGAGCCCTGTACGGGATCACCCTGGTTCCCACCTGCAAGTTCCGCACCTGGCTCTGGGGTAAGCAGCGTCCCTGCCCTCCTGAGCCTGCGTCCAGGCTTCTCACTGCTCTCAAGTGAGGCAGGATCCCTGGGTTTTCCCAACCAGTTCTCCGCAGTTGGCTGAGAGCCTGACTGGGCTGGGAATGAAGTTCAGGAAGACTGATGGGATGCACGGGGGTCAGTTCTGTAGGGGTCCCCTGAGACCATGTGCCATGTGACTGAAGAGTGGACCTGTTGCCAGAGTCAGCTGTCCCTGAGAACCTTCCTGTTTGAGTTGTTTGTGTGGCTCCTGTCCCAGCCCTGCTAGAAACAAGACAATACGCCTACCTTGGAGGCATGGGGTTCTGGTAGAGACCAGATGTTTTGCAGGGTGTATAATGAGCTTGCTTGGAATAGAGCAAGGGGACTCTGCTCAGGAAGAAAGTTCACTAAAAAAGGAGGCAAGGCAAGGTTGTTACCCAGGGAACTATTTCAGGCTCATCCATTGGCCAGACCAGGTTCTTTTGCTACAGAGAAGGATGAAGAAGGCACAGTTCATGGATGTGTTGCTCTGCTGCTCCATGCTGGTCTCCAGGGCACCATATGTGCCAGTCAACAAAGTATTCAGACTGAAATGAGGAACATGTTTCATGCTCTAGTCCCCATCAAGGCTGCCTTGCCCTGATGCTCTGAAGTGCCCGAGACCCCACATGGTCTTCCGCTAGTCCTCCCTGCTCCCTCCTCTGGCCCCTTGCCAGACAGCGAGGCTGGGCCAGGCTGATTGGAGGCCACCCAGATTTTGAGGTAGCTGCCAGTCTGTCCTTGACTTGCCCTTTGCTCTGCTCTTTTAGGGATGCCCCTATGTGGGCTGGAGGGGCACATATGCTTTGTAGACAGAGTCTGCTCTGACCCTCCACCCTCAAGCCTGAAGCAAGAAGTAAGAGCAGGGAGCGCTTCAGGCCCAGGCCTTCCTTGTTGCTCTCTGAGGGGCACTAAGCCAGACACACAACTTTAAGTTTTCCAGGGCATTCTCGGGTGAGGGTACTTTTTGGCAGCTCATCCTGTGGGTAGCTATGTGGAAGGGCAAGCAGATGTCAGCAGTTTCACACAGGACCACTCAGGTCTGTTGGTGGTGGTAAGATCAAGTGCCTAGACCTCTGTCTTGGCCAGTCCTCCAGGTGCTGTGGTGAACAGCAATGATCTTCTCAGGACCACAGTATTTCCCAGTGCTAGCTAGAGGCAAAGGCAGTTTTGTACAGCTGAGAGGAATGTGTTTCTTAGGTTACAAGGTGTCATCACAGCACTTCTCAAGAGTGAGCAGGTTTGAGAGTCTTCCATCTCTTTCATTTTGGAGTCTCCAATGAGCCCTTAGGATAGGGCTGATGAAATATACTGGGAAACAGTAAGGATCCAAGGGAAAACTTCTCAAGTCTTGCTCCTTGGACCAAAAGCTATGAGATGTTGCACAACCTTCAACGTGGTCATTAATAAGCCTCCCTGAGGAACAGAGAGGGAATGAATTTCCAACTGTCTTATGCCATTCTCTTTAATAGACTATAGGTGTTGACAGAAAACACACCAGAGTCCCTGGGCTCTTTTCCCAATTCCTTGCTAACATGGGACCTTAGATGCTTTCTCAGTCAATTTTCCAGGGTCATCTGCAGTATGAAGCAACCTAAGAAGTTTCCTTGGCTCCTAACTGAATCTGTCTGCTTTCATGCTCAAAGCCATTTTCTTCTTCAATGGTGTCTGGAGGTTCTGGTTCCAGTGTGGTTTTTCCAGAGACAGGTGTGGTCAGTTTCTGTACCTGGGAAGGAGATAGCCATCACCACATGGCTTGAGGCCAGTGAGGCCCCTGGAGTCCTCTCAGTTTGTGGCTTCAGAGGAACACCAGACAGTTACAGTGTGTTGCAAGTGTGCTCCAGCTGTAACCAGTTCATTACACTGAGGATTCACTGTTTCTGGCTGTTCCCTAGGTCTGAAACATAGTTAACAGTTTCCACCGAGATTCCATCTCTTCCTCCTAGAGTTGCTGAACAGATGGGTACACCCAGCAGCCCACTTCTCAGTTAAAAATTATGTCTGACACCTCCTCAGTGTCTAGGCCTTGAGGAAGGTAAGGCTAGATAATGTTGGAGTGCTCTGCTTAGAGCTTGGAGCATCTCCCATTATCATGTGAAATTCACATTGCTCAGTGGGAGTCTGGGATGACAGAGGGACATGATAAAGGGGAGTCACAGGAAATGTGTGCATATCCTGTAGTGGTGGATGGGACAGCTGGACACGAACTACTTGTTGAGAGTGTGTAGAGTTGGCCGGCGCCATGGCTCATTTGGCTAATCCTCCGCCTGCAGCACCGGCATCCCATATGGGCGCCGGGTTCTAATCTTGGTTGCTCCTCTTCCAGTCCAGCTCTCTGCTGTGGCCTAGGAGGGCAGTGGAGGATGGCCCAAGTGCTTGGGCCCCTGCACCCGCATGGGAGACCAGGAGGAAGCACCTGGCTCCTGGCTTTGGATCAGCATACTTCCAGCTATAGCAGCCATTTGGGGGGTGAACCAACGGAAGGAAGACCTTTCTCTCTGTCTCTCTCTCTCTCACACTGTCTATCAGTCAAATAAATTAAAAAAAGAGAGAGTGTGTAGAGCTTCATACCATGCCTCCATAGTTTTAGCCACATGAACTAGAAAAGTACTTAACTTCTCTGAGCTTTGACTTCACTTGCCAAGATATCTGCACCACCATCCCACACAGAATATGACAGAAATTTGAGAATATTGTACTTCTGGGGAAAGCTTAAGATACTGGGCAAACATGACTTTAGAATAGGGCTGGTATTTTCTGATGTGGCCACATTACAGGCTGAAGCTGAAATGATTTTACACCACTTAGTAAATGCCCACAGTTCTGAGTATTTAGCGTGTCTTGTACCACTCAGAGATCCTCTCATTGGTCAGTGCCCAGATACTGTTTCTTACAACTGCTAAAATGTGCAGGAGCACTTTGTGGCTTGAACACCACACACATTAGCTGAAGTTCACAGTCGACGGGACCTGGAGTGATGCACGTATAGACTGACCATGACAAGTTGTCAGTTCCTGGGACTCCTTAGCTTGTCTGCACTCCTGTGTTAACAGATGGGAGGTGATGATAGTATTTCCAAGTGGTAACAATCTCAGCTGTTTCAGAGACCAAGGTATCCCTAGGGTTCAGGTTAAAGCAGACGCTCACCTGAAGCTTAGAGAAGACACAGACTCTAGCAACAGAACAGCGTCCTTGTCTCCCAGGCAGGACTGGCATCGCTCGCTGATGCCCACTGTCTTTCCTGGCAGGGATATTCTATTATTTCGTCAGTGCCCTGGGCATCACAGCAGGAGCACATCGCCTGTGGAGCCACCGGTCTTACAAAGCTCGGCTGCCCCTGCGCTTCTTCCTCATCATTGCCAACACCATGGCCTTCCAGGTAAGAAGCTGGCGCTGCTCAGCCCTTGCTTCTCCACCCTCTCGATGGCCTGGGAGCAGAATGGAGGGGTGGGCACCTGGAGAGGAGCTGCACCGACAGCCCTGGCACTTTGCTCTCCCCTGTGTCACACGTGCAGGCTCAGTCCTGAAGTCCACAAAGCATGCAGACTGCTCTGGGTCGCTGGGAAGGGCAACAGGGATTAGCAGGACACACTCTTGATGTGCAGGATTGGTTTTGATCCTGAAGTCCTTGCATTATCATACAGTCAGGTTGTTTTGGTCTTTATGATAGGGGGCCAGGGCACATGAGCCAGTAATTGAACCTGATTTTCTGGGCAGACATGGGAAAATAAATTCATTCTGTAACATGAATATTTCAGAATGCCACCAGGCCACCACCACCTTAAAAAGGACATTGGTATTTCAGAATCATTTACTCTATGGTTTTCAGATAATAAGAGCAAATACTTTTATAAAACTGCATATGTATCTGTCACTATACAGAGCACTTACCACTAATTAACTCATTGATCCTTACAATAATCTTAGGAGGTAGGAACTATTATTTCCATGTTACAGATGAGCAGAATCAGTCACTGATAGGTTACACAGAACTTCATTATGATCTTATCCTTGAGTGCATGCTAGGTAACTAAAATACTGAGGATTGTAGAAGCATGAGATTTATAACACAAAGAATGAAGGGACTAGAAAAAACAGAACTCTTTGATAGCTGTAGCCACTGGACCCACAATAGTCTCTCTTGTGATGTTTATCTTGGAAGAGCTATAAAGGAAGTCCCTTTCATCAAAGGCAGTATCTCAGGTAGGTAATATTTGCATAATTATCCCTGTGAAAGTGAGATATACCTTGAAGGCTTCTGGTTTTTGGTTTTGTTTTGTTTCTTAGAAAAGGGAAGGAATAGGGAGATTGGTCCATGCCCAGGGATCAGGCGGTCCCTGAGGACCTCTTCCAACCTTCCCTGCTTGCGGAAGTGCAGTGTTCATTCCTAGTGAAACCATCTGGGCTCTGCGTGCTTCACCTCGATTCTACCCACCAGGTCACCTGCAGGGGGCACAGGCACAGCCACGTGGTCCTGGGAGCATGAGTGGCCCTTCCCCTTCCCTCAGTGGCAGGGGTGGGGCAGAGGGGAGGCGGTGCCAGGACTCCTCAGGGGCCCAGACTCCTGGGTGTTGTGAGCTGCGCCTGGAAGACACCTCTGCAGAGAGTTCTCCTGAGAGGACGTCCGCTCAGGCTGCATCCCTTTCTCTGTCCCTCCAGAACGATGTGTTTGAATGGGCCCGAGACCACCGTGCCCACCACAAGTTCTCAGAAACCAATGCGGATCCTCACAATTCCCGCCGTGGCTTTTTCTTCTCGCACGTGGGCTGGCTGCTTGTGCGCAAACACCCTGCGGTCAAGCAGAAGGGCGCTCTGCTGGACTTGTCAGACCTCAAAGCCGAGAAACTAGTGATGTTCCAGAGGCGGTGAGTGAGGGGCGATGGAGCTGGGGATGTGCTCCCGGTCCCTGGAGTGTGGGGACCCCAGTTTTTCTCCAAGGACTTGCAAGTTCATTTTAATTTACTGTTTGCAAGTTCAAAACCATCATTTAAAACTCCAAACTTATTTTTTTAAAAAAGATTGAGTTGTAAAGAGTTTGTAGGGTTGCGTTTTATTTTTACTTTTTAAAAGATTTCTTTATTTGAAATGTAAACTGAAAGAGGGTGAGTCAGCAAAGGAGAGACATCTTATATCCCCTGATTCACTCCCTAAATGGGTGCAACAGCTGAGACTGGGATTGGGCTGGGCCAAAAAGTCAGGAGCCAGGAACTCCTATTTGGATCTCCCACATGGCTGGCAGGAAGCCAAGCATTCAAGCCATCATACACTGCTTCCCAGGTGGATTAGCAGGGAGCCATCAGAAGCAATGCAGCCAGGTCTTGAGTGGACATTCTGACATGGATGTGGGCATCCCAAGCAGTGGTTTCACCTCATGTAATGCCTGCCCCTAAACTTCAAATGTGAACACCCCACAAGCCCACAGCCATAGACTGTTGCTCTGTTTCTTCTTCTCTGAGCTGTCTTAATTAAACCACTTAAATGCAACAAGTGATTGTTGACCCAGGACACAAAAATGTAACATAAAAACTACAATGCAAATGTAATGTAAAGTTGAAAAACAAAATTCTTACCTAAGGTGTCTGTAGCTTTTTGGGGAGTAGAACAATAAGCCAAGAACTCAAATAGCCATGGTGCAAGGCAGAATATTTTCTGTACCATGAAAGGTACAGAAGAGAGTGAGATCACTTGCTGGAAACTACATGGAAGAGTTTACAAAGTAGCACTGGAATCTACCTAGGGACAGCAATGTTCACAAGTAGGTGTGGGCAGGGACAGTGCAAACAGAGCAGAATGAGCTAAAGCATCAAGCATGTTCCAACCACAAATGCTTCTGTTTGGAGGACAGGGTATGACAAAACCAGACTGGAGAGAGACTGTGTCATTCTTCTCAAGTCCTAAAGGCAGACCTGATTCAGGGTGCAACAGGAAAGCACTAATTGGTTTGAACACAATAGCAGTCAGAGCTATGCTTCAGAAGGACTGCTCTCACAGGACTGCATTGTGGCACAGTGGGCCTGCTGCCCGCAACACACGCTTCCAACATGATGCCAGTCCAAGTCCCATCTGCTCCTTTTCCAATCCAGCTCCCTGCTAATGCACTTGGGAAAGCAGTGGAAGCTGGCCCAAGTGCTTGGGCCCCTGCCACCTACATGGGAAACCTAGGTGGAGTTCCAGGCTCCTGGCTGCAGCCTAGCATAGCCCTGGTCATTGTGTTCATTTGGGGAGTGACCCAGGAGACAGAAGAGTTCTCGCTGTCTCTCCTTCTCTCTCTGAAACTCTGCCTTTCAAATAAATAAGTAAATTTTTTAAAAAGAAGAAGAGGAAGAAGGGCCACTCTCAGGACAGGGGCCAGAAACCAAGGACCAGAGAGGAGAGGCAGGGACAGCAGTTAGGGGGTCAGGGGATCCACGCTGGGGAAGCAGGGGCAGGACTGGGAAGGGCGTGATGCAGCGAGGATGTGACTGCTGAAGGAGGCAGGGAATCACTCCACCGAGTGGCAGTGGCCAGGTCCCCAGGGAGAAGGGAGAGTGGGACAGGCATTCAGACAGACACACAGGTGATCAGGGCCACTCAGTGCCTCTCTGGGGGCAAAGAAGAGCAGAGAATTAGAGGGCAGTCACAGGAGATGGAGGCACAACACCAAACATGGACGTGTGCCAAAGAGCTCGATGGGCAAGAGCAAGGAGCCCAAAGGCAGATGGGCATGGGCCCAGGCTGGAGAACTCTGATCCAGAATTGGGGTTTGGACCTCAGCTATGAACTTAGCACCAGGGCCTTGTGCGCAGTGGAAAGAGGCTGTGGACTGGAGCCAGGAGGCAGGCATTCCAATCTGTGCCGTGCTGGTTCCCAGTGACCTCAGAGAAGTCCTGTACCCTCCTCATCTCCCTCCCCATCCACAGAGTGAGGGCCTATCATGGCATGCCCAACAGATGCCCACCCCGTCTCACAGCAAGGGAGAAGAGGTGGCCCAGCCCAGGGAGCATGGACAGCAGGGGCAGGTCTGGATCCCCTGTGCCCCGGCTCAGCCTGTGATCTCCCCACGCAGGTACTACAAACCCGCCGTCCTGCTGATGTGCTTCATCCTGCCCACGCTCGTGCCCTGGTATTTCTGGGGTGAAACTTTTCAACACAGCTTGTACGTGGCCACTTTCCTGCGTTATGCTGTAGTGCTCAATGCCACCTGGTTGGTGAACAGTGCTGCCCACATGTATGGATATCGCCCATATGACAAGAACATTAACTCTCGAGAGAATGTACTGGTTTCTCTGGGAGCTGTGGGTAAGTCAGCATGCATAGCAAGACTACATCTAGGCCAGCGCCGCAGCTCAATAGGCTAATCCTCCACCTTGTGGCGCCGGCACACCGGGTTCTAGTCCTGGTCGGGGTGCCGGATTCTGTCCCGGTTGCCCCTCTTCCAGGCCAGCTCTCTGCTGTGGCCCGGGAATGCAGTGGAGGATGGCCCAAGTCCTTGGGCCCTGCACCCGCATGGGAGACCAGGAGAAGCACCTGGCTCCTGGCTTTGGATCAGTGCGATGCGCCGGCAGCAGTGCGCTGGCCGTGGAGGCCATTGGAGGGTGAACCAATGGCAAAGGAAGACCTCTCTCTCTGTCTCTCTCTCTCACTGTCCACTCTGCCTGTCAAAAAAAAAAAAAAACAAACAAACAAAAACAAAAACAAAAAAAAAAACACCGCATCTAATGATCTGCTGGTTGTGGTATTAGGCTAGGAATCAGCATAACCAGGTTAGCTTGGTTGTATAGCCACTTTGTATCTGTTTTTCTATTATAAAACTAGTAGCTTTATAGTAAAACTACGTATAAAACTGAAAAACCCTTATGAACATCAAGCAGTAAGTCTTAAGGGAAGCCGGCGCTGCAGCTCACTAGGCTAATTCTCCGGCTTGCGGCGCCGGCACACCGGGTTCTAGTCCCAGTCGGGGTGCCGGATTCTGTCCCGGTTGCCCCTCTTCCAGGCCAGCCCTCTGCTATGGCCCAGGAGTGCAGTGGAGGATGGCCCAAGTGCTTGGGCCCTGTACCCAATGGGAGACTAGGAGAAGCACCTGGCTCCTGCCTTTGGATCAGCGCGGTGCGCCAGCTGCAGCACGCCAGCTGCGGTGGCCATTGGAGGGTGAACCAACGGCAAAAGGAAGGCCTTTCTCTCTGTCTCTCTCTCTCTCACTGTCCACTCTGCCTGTCAAAAAAAAAAAAAAAAAAAGTCTTAAGAGAAAGGGAAAGGGTAAAAAATAACACTGCCTTTGATTCCAGGCCTCCTAATAACCTCCGGAAGCTAAATGTAGGGAGCTTCCTCTGTTTTCCTGTACTTGCTGTACTAGGAGTTTTGTATAAATGGAACAACTGGATCATCAGAGCGGCCAGAGAGACAGGGATCTTCTATGAGAACATGCAACAGAGTGTCGAGTAAATAATGACAATTTAGTATTTAGATGTTCCATGCTTTTGTGTATGGGTCATGCCTTATTGTTTGGTGATTCCAATATGAAGGGCATCAGAGCAGCTGTAGCTGGCCCTTTCCTACTACCCTGCAGCATGTCCCCTTCTTGTCCTTTATGTTTTTCTTCCACTTCTATTCTCAGCTTGGAACTTCACTTCCCAAAAGAAACTTAGGGAATGCCCCTAGAGCTGTTAGTTTGATCACAACTCCCTGAACACTGATCTGATGTGGACTCTTCTGGAGTTCATTTCTATCATTCCAGTCCCAACATCACAGAAGACAGAGTCCTGCCATCTGTCCCCACTTACTTCCTTTCCAGCTTTAGAAGAAAATACACATTTTTACTGAGGCTTCAAATTAGTGTTCAGTAAGCAGAACCAGAGGTCTATTACTTTGCAGGCGTCATTGGCGTTAGTCATCCAGTAATGCTTACAGAAGTACACTGCTCATGTATTCATACACAATGCTGCCTTTCTGTTTTTCTTGCTCTTTTAAAGTCTTCTTTTATTATCTCACACTAGTGATATTTATTATCTTTATAAAATTATCTTTTCCTATCACTTTTTGACATTCAGAAATTTTGGCCTTCCTTTCAGTTACCTTCTTCCATCGGGCGTATTGGTACTAAATTCCTGTTTAAGATAAATCACATGGGTTGTATAAATCTGAAGCTTTCACAGAAACAGAATTTCTTTGGCTTCGATGTGTCCTATATTACAGATGTATCTATAATGAAGTCACTTGCTTGTGACTGTCAGTTCCAGGTTTCTTTGTGAGCTTTCCTTGTCTGCACCTGCTGCTTTCCTCCCAATAACTTACCATGAAGCTTTTTTCCCTTTGTAATCATTTTGCTTCCGGACATACCTGCTTCAGTCAACCTATCTACCACAGCTGGCCTTCTCCCTGAGCCTCCCTTGGGCTGTCTCTTGCTGCCCTGATCCTTACCTTCACCCATGGATCCTCCTCTGTTCTCTCTCTGCATCTGTGTCTCACTCCGTGTTACGAGTGGTATGTGGGCCGTCGCCGAGGCTCACTAAGTTAATCCTCCACCTGCGGCACTGGCACACCGGGTTCTAGTCCCAGTCAGGGCGCTGGATTCTGTCCCAGTTGCCCCTACTTCCAGGCCAGCTCTCTGCTATGGTCCGGGAATGCAGTGGAGGATGGCCCAAGTCCTTGGGCCCTGCACCCGCATGGGAGACCAGGAGAAGCACCTGGCTCCTGCCTTCAGATCAGTGCAATGCGCTGGCCGCAGCGGCCATTGGAGGGTGAACCAACAGAAAAAGGAAGACCTTTCTCTGTCTCTCTCTCTCCTTCACTGTACATGCTGCTTGTCAAAAAAAAAAAAAAAAAAAAAAAAGAGTGGTATGTGTGGACCAGGTGAGTGCTCACTGAGAGCCTTGCTGCAAACTCATTTCAGGGGCTCAGCAGTCCTCCATCAACACCCTTAGCCTTGGGCTTGCCCACCCTCTCCCCAGCTCCCACTGGAGGTGAGCAGCATCACACAGGAAGCACACACCTTGAGATGCCCTGGATGGGGTCACTGCCTTTGCTGGACATGCTGTCTTGCTGGCTCGATGTCATTCCCTCTCTATCTGCAGTGTGTTTATCTGCACAAGGCCCAACAGCCGCTCTGTTGGCTTCCCTTTACCCTGGCCTGACAAGGGTCAGGGTGCCGTTGTTGGACGCAGCTCAGAAAGAGGGGACCTGGCAGGAGTCACCAACCTCTCTCTGCAGAGACTCCACAGCTTTACCTACTACAGGAATTGTCCTCAGTCCAGAGTTTCTTTTTCTCTGTCTGTCCATGTGAAACTCTTGTCCCGAGAATTCTCAGCATCTCGGAGGTCAGAGGGAATATTTCAGCAATTTGTTTCTTCTTTCCAAAGAGAATGTCTATCTTATCAGCACCACCCCCAGCCCAGTCAAAGCTGGAAGAATGAGAAGGCAGAGCAGCCCACTCTGCGCCAGCAGAGGCTGAGGAAACCGCAACCCTGGGCTGGGCCTCCTGTCCTCTATGTTTGGCCACTGCCTCCTGTTCCATTGGAAGCTCCCACCCTTATGGTGGTGCTGCTGCTGTGGGGAAGGCGGGTCCTCTGCTCACTTGTAACAGCAGAGCCCAAGTTCCTCATTCTGGACTCTCCCCTCTGCACCCCAGCACACGTACACACACAGCCTTTCAGGCCTTGAGTCAATGCTTCCTGAAGCTCTGGAGGTTGCCAACCGACACTGCATTCTCAGCAGTAGTCCCTGCTCCACAGTCAACTCACACATGCTCTGAGAAACCAAGTAGGGGTGACAACGGCCTCATCTATCATTTCTTAAGGTGCTTTGGGGGGGATCCACTTGCTGTAGAGTAAGAGACCAGATCCATCCCTGTGTCCATTCTACAGCAGCATATTTCTGCTGGGTTCCAGGAACACTGCTAGGAAGACAGGAATCCACCCAAGCTCCATGACATTTCTCCTTGCTTTTGTTGCAGGTGAGGGCTTCCACAACTACCACCACTCCTTTCCCTACGACTACTCAGCCAGTGAGTATCGCTGGCACATCAACTTCACCACATTCTTCATCGACTGCATGGCTGTCCTGGGCCTGGCTTATGACCGGAAGAAAATATCCAAGGCTGCCATCTTGGCCAGGATTAAAAGGACTGGAGATGGAAGCTACAAGAGTGGCTGAGTTCTGAGTTCCTCAACATCTTTTCCAAAAGCTAGCCAGGCAGAGGTTCACTGTTCTGTTTATTAACTACTGAATAATGCTCCCAGGATGCTAAAGATATTGACCTTAACCCATTCCAATACAGTATTCTTTTAAAAAACGCAAAAGTATTGAAAGACAACTGCTCCATTTTGATGCTAAGCTGATGTCCTCATTTTCTCTCCTCTCCTATTTTCATTGTGCTTTTCTTTCCTTTATTACTATCACCTTCTTTTCTCCTCTCCCTCATTGCCTCCTAGAAAACAGCTTTTCAGTCTTTGCTCAGTGTCCATCTTCCAAAGCCTACACAACTTTTCAAGAGTCAAACTAATAGTCTTATCCAAGATAATCTTCTTTCCTTGAGTTCTTCAGTTTCAGCATAGGTGGCTCAAGGTAGAGATACCAGGAAACTCTTGGGAACTCCCATGTTCACTCTAATCAAACATGCTTTGCTAGATGAAACGGACAAATAACTTTAGTGGGCACACAGCTTCTATAGAAAGTAAACTATCAGCGGGGAGGTTAGCTGCCGTGGCATGACTGATAAGTGAGGGTGGAGTCGCGGTGGGAGATGAGCAGAGAAGAAGGTCTTGCTGTGATGAGACACACAGCTGTCTACCTAGCCAGGACTTCGAGCCCCTCCTCACAATACACTTCTTTTTTTTTCTCCTGTGAGTACGAGTGGCCTGGAGCCCGGCATTGGTAGCACAAACAAGCAAATCTCAGTGCCTCAGCAGACTCTGGGCAGAGGTTAAGGCAGCAGCATTTAGTGCGTAGTAAAAGTGCTCACAGCTGGGAAAGGATTTTTTAACAACAAGGAGATTTTTTTATTTCATGGAACAAGAGGTCTTGAGGTTTGGTGTGTCTAGAATTGGTGAATATCATACCTCATAGAGTTCAGAGGATTCCCTGAGCTGCTCATCAGAATGATTTTGGTTTTCTGCTCTGCTACCTTCAGGATATTGGTTGCTCCTCCCATAGTAATAAGGTGGCTGTGGCATTTCCAAACATCTCAAAGTGGAGGATTTTATGAAGTGAATTGAATCAAGCATTAAAATATAGAGATGTAGATTCTTTATTTGGTGTATGAGAATATTTCCACTAGGATAGTTCCCTCTGAACAAGGGATATTGAAAGAACCCTGAAGTAGAGGAGAAAGTAGGTGGGTCATGTTTGCCTCCCTACCTGCCACACTGCCTGGCATGGTCTACAGACAGTTCCCAAGGGATAACTTTCAAAGGACAAGCTGTGAGACCACATTGCTAGGAGATCAGAAAGTTACTGAGGAAGTTACCAGGTGTCCTAATGAAACAAGTTCAATGTTAGGTCTATTCATTAGTACCAACTTCTCATTGAAATGAGTAATAACCAGGAGGCTTCTCTTCACTGTGTTATATCTTTTGACTTATTCTATGCTCTGTTAACATTTAGCTTAAAGTATAGGATTACCTGGGAGGGAGGCGAGAGGGAGGGATATATTAACCTGCCTGATTCTTCATTCCTGGCTCTGCCCTGTCCCTTTTCTCCTACTGGTTCTGTCTCTTCCCTGACGTCATCTCTATCTCCGGCCAGGCAGCCTCCTTGTGTGTGTTCAGAGGCAGTGACAACTGCTGTCCAGGCAGCTCTTCCTGCAGACACCATGCTCCAGGACCCCAGACAACTGTTTCTCTTCAGCAAGGACAGCTGATCCACTTTCCTATGCCCTTGGCCACACGGATAGCTCCATACATGGCTGGCAAACCCTCCCAGAACCATTCTTGGTTCCAAGAGGCTCTTTCTCATGATACAAATGCTTCCTTTGTGCCACTGAGCCCGCCCTAGAGCCAAGGGGGTCTGTTGTCCACCTCCTGCATCTGGGCCAGAGCAGAGAGCATGCTGAGTGCCCTCTGCTTGCTCAGTCAGGTGGCCCCACCTGATCAGTGCTCCTGGATGCCACAGTAATGCTTGTAGGAGGAGGATACCTCATCCTCAGTGGGAAGCACAAGAAGCAAGGCCAAGTTCCTGAGTGCCTCACTTTGTAACAGGTCCTGAATCTGGAGCAGGCTATGCTGCAAAGCTTTGGCTGAAATGTGGGAGCAGAGATGCCATGACCTTTGTTGAATAGACTTCCTGTGCAGCAAATAACCAGCATTCCCTACCACCAAGCCTAGGGCAGAAAACACAGATCCTCAGTGTTTTCAAATCCTTGGGCTTGCGTCCCTGTCCCTCAGTCATCAGTGCAGAAGCCTGGCTTTGCTCTATTACGATTGGAAGTGTGCAGTGCCACACACTGTCCACTGTTGAGCTCCAGGGTGGGGAGGGGGAATGTGTTTTTCTGTAATTTAATAGTGGCTACGAGGATCAGCCTGCACCAAAGGTAACCTGGTCTTTTGAGGTGTACATCTCAGTAGAAGAGAATCCAGTGGAAGATCACTGTCAGTTACCTCTGCTGACCTGTGTGCCTACCCCTTGGAAATGTCTGTCAGGTAGTCTAGTTCTACAAGTCATCAGATGGCTGCTTTATAATATACAGAGAAGAGGAACAACATTCTCTTCTTTTCTAAGATGTTCTGTGGGTCTGACCCCACACAAGGCTGGGTGGAGACCCAAAGCTGAGGGTCCTGGTGCAAAGCTGATGTGCAGGTCAGTGTGTGTCTGCTGCATAAGTAACCGTATTTCAAGATTCTATAGCTCAATTCAAGAGACAGACTAATTGGAATCTCAGATGGGATCGAGAGTGTAAATTTTGACCTGTCCTCACTTTGTGGATGTGCTTACAGTTTATTTGGGTGCCTTACATCTTTTCTAATTCAAATTCCCTAAGAGCCTGCCCTACTCCCTCTTTGCAGTCCCTCAGCACCTGCGAGCCTGCAGAAGTGGCAGGTAGAGAAAGGGGCCTGGCTGGATCCGTGCAGTGATTTGCAGGGTTCCATCTGGGAGTCATTTTGGAAACTTTCTTTAGGGTTGTTTTTATTAAGTGTCCATATTTGATGGAGGGTGGAAGTATACTTTGAATGTATTCTTTTCTAATTTTTTTTTGGGTTAAAAGATGGTTGTTGCAGTTAAAATGGAAAGTTTTTTTCTTTGGTTTGCTGGTATTTTGAGTGAATTCTCTGTTAATAGAGCTCAAATGGGTTAGTGTGTAAAGAAGAAAGTGAACTGGTAATGTTTTACTGGTGGTTCAAGGCCAGGTCCTCTTCTACCCCTGTGCCACTGGCTTGCTCTGTGACCTTCTCTTTTATCAGAACCCACGCTGTGAGAGTGAACATGCCTCCTCCTCCTCCAGTATTGAGGACTTAGCACAGCCCTCCTGAGCTAATGACTTCTTAACAATCCCACCTTTCAGCATTGTTGCTATGGTCATACAGTTTCCAACGAGTGAATTCTGGGAGACACACTCAAACCACAGTATTGGAGAAGTGACTTAACTATTTTGTGCCTCAGTTTTCCTTTCGTTAAAATATGGTTAATAATACTGACCTACCTCAAAAGGCAGTTTTGAGGCACAAGTAATGCTTCTCATCCAGTGTCTGGGGACCCTTCAGCAGAGGAATTCCCATGCTGAATATTTCTACAGTGGGTCTGTCCACTTTGAACTTGCTATGTCCACGTGTTCCAGAGGCTCTCATGAGTCTTCCTGGCTCTCTGGAGAGTAAATGAATCCCTTGGCTAAGTGGTGGATAACTAGTCAAAGGAAATGTGAGAATGCATCCTCATCGCCATACAAATAAGTACAGAAAAACTTTCCCTTGCTTGGGTGGGATTTTTATCCCTCTTTATGTGGGACAGGAATTATTTGTGACCTAAGAGTAATTTTGGAATAATTTCTATTAATATCAAGTCTGAAGCTAGTTGTACTTATCTGAGATTGTGTTTGTTCATAATAAAATTGAAGTGAAACTGATTGTGCTGTGTCTGTGAATTTGTGGCTGTGGTTCAAATTCTCCTTGGACCTGTCTCCATGACTGGTGTCACCCTATGTATGTCCTGTGTCTTTAAGAACAAAAAAGCAGTAGAAACTACAAGGGTTGACTCAGACCCAGCAATCTGCCCTGCCCTTCCTAGGGGTAACTTCAGGTTGAACGGGGCACAGGAAATCCAGTCTTCTGCCATTAGATCAGACACTAACACCTGCTGGCATCTTGGCCTGGGAAAAATTCCACAGAGTCAAGACAGATTTCCTAGGGTAAAAAGAGAGCAGCAGAAGCACTGCCAGGGAGAGGCATTTGTGTCTGAAACATCCTCTCCCCCAGGGAACGGGGAGAACAAGTCACTTCCTGGGGCACCACAGCAAGAAGACATGAAAAGAACCAAGGGGAGGTTTGCCAGCTCTGGAGCAAACAAACTTCTGAACTCTCTTCTTTCTACAAGGTGGAAAGGGTTTTGTTTTGTTTTGTTTTTCTTTAGTACTTCAACAACCCTCATGTAGAAAAGAGAAAGGCAAAACTCTTCCAGTTTAAAGAAGCTCCATGGGGCCGGCATTGGGGCGTAGCAGGTAAAGCTGCCGCCTTCAACACCAGCATCTCAGATGGGGACCGGTTCATGTCCTGGCTGTTCCACTTCCAATCTAGCTCCCTGCTAATGGCCTGGTAAAAGCAGCAGAAAATGGCCCAAGTTTTTGCGCCCCTGCCATTCATGTGGGAAACTTGGATGAAGTTCCTGGCTCCTGGCTTCAGCCTGGCCCAGCACTGGCCATTGTGACTATCTGGGGAGTGAACAAGCAGAAGGAAGATTTCTGCCTTTCTGAGACTCTTTCAAAATAAATAAATGAATTTTTTTTTAAAAAAAAAGCTCCATATTCCAGCAAGGTAGCACCTAGACTAATTCTGAGACACTTAAAAGCTCCCCAGAACCCACTCTGCCAGTCATTTCCCTCTGATCTAATGTTGTCTTCATCTTGGACAAGAAGCATGGTGCTTTCCAAGTAATTCTGAGGCTAGGACTCTCATAGGAATTCTGATTATCCAAAATCAGAAGGAAAAATACAGTGGTCTGTTTTAGGCTCTTGTGAGATGTTTATGACGATACATTCTTCACCAGTGAACATCTGGGTTGCTACCTTAAGCCCCTTCTTTCTTTTGTGTAAAATGTTCAGGACAGGTATTTTTCTGTAACTGTACTGTTCCTGCAAGTCTTTGCCTCCCATGAGCCAGCCTCCTGTGTGGAGCCTGTGGCCTCCCTATGCTCTCTGCTTCCTCCTGCTTTCCTCCTGTTCCACACCTGCCCGTCCTCCCTCTGATTCAACACACCTCCAGTCTTCCCCTAGGAGGTCTATATTTTGTATATCTGATGTTTCATCAGGGACTTTTTTTCTTATTCTTACATGGAAATTTTTAAAAAGAAAGATGAGAGATCTTAGCACTGGAAAAGAGTGGCTCAATATGTTACACTGAATTCAAGATGGAGAGAAAGGGAACAAATGACAAACTGGCATGTCAGGTGAGTTATAAAGTAAACATTTCTAGGGGCAAAGTTGTGAAATCTGAATTTCACATTTTTTGTATGGGAAGAGAAAAAGAGGTTAAAGTCATTTATAGGGATCAAAATTAAACATGGCAGGCTGGTTCCGTGGCTCACTTGGCTAATCCTCTGCCTGCAGCGCCAGCATCCCGGGTTCTAGTCCTGGTTGGGGAGCCAGATTCTGTCCCAGTTGCTCCTTTTCCAGTCCAGTTCTCTGCTGTGGCCCAGAAGGCAGTGGAAGATGGCCCAAGTGCTTGGGCCCTGCACCCACATGGGAGACCAGGAGGAAGCACCTGGCTCCTGGCTTCAGATTGGCACAGCGCGCCGGTCGTAGCAGCCATTTGGGGGGCAAACCAACAGAAAAGGAAGACCTTTCTCTCTGTCTCTAACTCTGCCTGTAAAAATGAAAAAATTAAACATGGCACAAAAGGAGGAAAATTATTTGAGATAATTATGGAGAAGGGCATATAAATAAAATTCTTAAAGCACTGGAAGCTGGCCCAAGTCCTTGGGCCCCTGCACCCACATGGGAAGACCTGGAGGAAGCTGCTGGCTCCTGGCTTGCAGCTCCAGCTGTTGTGGACAATTGGGGAGTGAACCAGCAGATGGAAGACCAACTTCTCTCTGCCTCTCCTCTCTGTGTATAACTCTGACCTTCAAATAAATAAAATAAATCTTTAAAAAAATAAAAGAGGCTGGCACCACGGCTTAATAGGCTAATCCTCCACCTTGCGGCGCTGGCACACCGGGTTCTAGTCCCGGTCAGGGCGCCGGATTCTGTCCCGGTTGCCCCTCTTCCAGGCCAGCCCTCTGCTATGGCCCAGGAGTGCAGTGGAGGATGGCCCAAGTGCTTGGGCCCTGTACCCAATGGGAGACTAGGAGAAGCACCTGGCTCCTGCCTTTGGATCAGCGCGGTGCACCAGCCGCAGCACGCAGGCCGCGGTGGCCATTGGAGGGTGAACCAACGGCAAAAGGAAGACCTTTCTCTCTGTCTCTCTCTCTCACTGTCCACTCTGCCTGTCAAAATAAATAAAAGAAAAAAAATTCCTAAAGCTCAATGGCAACCTGTTTTCTCCATCTTTCCTGGAAGAACCAGGATAATCCCTAAAAATGACTGCCAGGAACCAAACAAGAATAAGAGGCATCCAGGGGCTGGTGCTGTGGGGCAGCGGGTTAACGTCCTGGTCTGAAGCGCCGGCATCCCATATGGGTGCCAGTTCAAGACCTGGCTGTTCCACTTCCGTTCCAGCTCTCTGCTATGGCCTGGGAAAGCAGTGGAAGATGGCCCAAGTCCTTGGGCCCCTGCACCTGTGTGGGAGACCCAGAAGAAGCTCTTGGCTCTTGGCTTCGGATCATCATATCTCTGGCCATTGGCCATTGCGGCCATCTGGGGAGTGAACCAGCAGATTGAAGATCTCTCTCTCTCTCTCTCTCTCTCTCTGCCTCTCCTTCTCTCTCTGTGTAACTCTTTCAAGTAAATAAATATTTTTTAAAAAATTAGTTAATAACAAATGCTTGGAATGTGAAGGAATTGGAATCCTCACACAACGCTGGAAAATATACAATGATGCAGATATTTTTGGAAAATAGTTGGGCAGTTCCCCCAAAGGATAAATATATAATGGGCACCACATGACTCAACAATTCTACTCCTAGGTGTATACCTCCAAGAACTGAAAACACGTCCACATAAAAAAATTGTACATGAATATTCATAGATACATCACATAACTAATCAACAGAAACAAGACAAGTGTTTATCACTAGATGAACAAACACACGTGGTTTATTCACATTATGGGAAATACAGAGTCATAAAAGCATGATGAAGTGATACACAATATAACATGAATGGGCCTAGAAAGCACCGTTCTAAAGCAGAGCATCAGACACAAAAGGCCACATACTTTATTATTCTATCTATCTGAGCTGCACAGAACAGGCAAATCCAGAGATAGAAAGCAGAGGGGTGTTGCCCAGAGCTGGGGAAGAGGAATGGGAGTGACTGCTAATGGGCATGGGTTTGCATGGAGTGATGAAAATGTTCAGTTAGATTCTGGCAATAGCAGCACCACCCTGTGAGTGTACTGAAAACAGCTGAATCATACACCTTAAAAGGGTCACTTCATGCCACATGAAATATATCTCAAGAAAAAACTAGATGAGGAACAAAAGCTCTGTATTGTAAGAGCTTTCCTATTACTTGTAGCTAACGCTCAAACCCAAATACACAAGAGAAGCACTGTAATTTAACTTATTTGATTAAAGAAGCACTCCATTGTCTTAAATATATAGTGCTGTGATCTCTAGACTCAAACATCAAGGAGACTAAGAATAGACACATAAGAAAAGGCAACTGCTGCAAACTGGAGTGTCCATGATGACAACCTTGCTATACCACCACTTGAAAAAATCCAAGTGATACACTCTACATTAGTTAAAGGGGTTTAGAGCATTGCATAAACACATGTTTTACTTCCTCTTGAGCAGGAAATCCATGTCCTGAGTCTACCAGACTTGTGAGTACCATGGTTCACTGGTCCAACAATAACAGTTACCATAACTAGGCACTGTGTCAAGTGATGGATGGTGTGCCATCTCACCACATCAGAAGCAGGTGCTATTTGTGACTCATTTTACCTCTGAGGTACCTGAATTTCTTCAAGGAGAAATCTGTGAGGGAGTGAGCCCGGTGCTCTGATCTGGCTCCAGAACCGTAATCCTAACACCTGGCTTTCCTGGGCGTGGAGCAGATGACAAACTAGTGAAGCCTACATCTCTCACACATCCAAGTATAGGAACGGTGGTAGTCACTAACACTCAGAGGCAAAGCCTGGCATGGCCCCTCCTTGGGTAGCAATGGCAGGGAGCTTCACTCATTTATGACGCCACCTCTGCCAGAAAGACCCAACTCACTTCACCTGGGGACCCACCTTCATCCTCAACCATGCCTGAGGTTATTTTTTTAAAATTTATTTTCTTATTTAGTTGAAAGAGTTACAGAGAGAGGTAGAGACAGAGAGACAGAGAGGTCTTCCATCCTCTGGTTCACTCCCTAAATGGCCAAAACAGCCAGAGCTGAGCTGATCCAAAGCCAGGAGTCAGGAGCATCTTTCAGGTCTCCCATGTGGGTGCAGGGGCCCAAGGACTTGGGCCATCCCTTGCTGCTCTCCCAGGCCCATTAGCAGGGAGCTGGATCAGAAGCGGAGCAGCCAGTACTCAAACAGGCACCCATATGGGATGCTAGCATTGCAAGCTAGGGCTTTAACCTGCTGCATCACAGCACCAGCCACCATGCCGGAGTGTTAAGCAGTCCTTTCAAATCACAGCAACTTGCCTGACCTTTCCTCTTTCTTTCCCAGCATTCTCCACCCTCCTGCATGGTCTTGCACTCTGCAAGGGCAGCCTCCTCTTTCAAAAATGACTCCCTGAGCCTAAATAGTC